GGAAGGTCGCAGCCAGAGGGTAGTGGTCAACGTCTCAATGTCCAGATGGACACCGGTAACAAGTGGTGTCCCTCAGGGGTCCGTACTGGGACCAGTGCTGTTTAATATCTTCATCAGTGACTTAGACAGCAAGATTGAGTGCACCCTCAGCAAGTTTGCAGATGACACCAAGCTGAGTGGTGCAGTCAACACACCTGAGGGACAGGATGCCATCCAAAGGGACCTGCACAAGCTTGAGAAGTGGGTCCATGTAAACCTCATGAAGTTCAACAACGCTAAGTGCAAGGTCCTGCACGTGGGTCGGGGCAACCCCTGGTATCAGTACAGGCTGGGGGATGAAGGGGTTGAGACCAGCCCTGCCGAGAAGGACTTTGGGGTACTGGGGGATGAAAAGCTGGACATGAGTCGCCAATGTGCACTTGCAGCCTAGAAGGCCAACTGTACCCTGGGCTGCATCAAGAGAAGCGTGGCCAGCAGGTCGAAGGAGGTGATTCCCCTCTACTCTGCTCTGGTGAGACCCCACCTGGAGTTCTGTGTGCAGCTCTGGAGCCTCCAGCACAAGAAGGACATGGATGTGTTGGAGCAGGTCCAGAGGAAGCCACAAAGATGGTCAGAGGTCTGGAGCACCTCTCCTGTGAGGAAAGGATGAGAGAGTTGGGGCTGTTCAGCCTGGAGAGGAGAGGGCTCCGGGGAGACCTTATTGCAGCCTTCTAGTACTTAAAAGGGGGCTTATAAGGAGGATGGGGACAAACTTTTCAGCAGGGCGTGTAGCGATAGGACGAGGAGTAATGGCTTTTAAACTAAGGGAGGGTAGATTTAGACTGGATATAAGGAAGAAATTTTTTACAGTGAGGGTGGTGAAAAACTGGCACAGGTTGCCCAGAGAGGTGGCAGATGCCCCATCCCTGGAAACTTTCAAGGTCAGGTTGGATGGGGCTCTGAGCAACCTGATCTAGTTGAAGATGTCCCTGCTCACTGCACAGGGGTTGGGCTAGATGACCTCTAAAGGTCCCTTCCAACCCAGACTATTCTGCGATTCTGTAATTCTATTACATACAGGAAAGAGCTCTAAGAAAATGAATATAGATCTTTTAATTAAAAGCTTTCAGTCCTCAAGTATACTCAATACAGGCAAATCATGGGCCAAGGGGCTTGTAGCAAGCATTCAGAGGAATGATGAAGTGCTGAAAATGTTATTGTAGACAGAAGCAAAGAAGAGCTAGTCTTGCTTCTTTCTGCCTTATCCTCAAGGTCAAGATTTCTGTCTGCAGTTTTTGAAATGCATGTCTAGGGCCTAGCATTGTCAATATGGTGTGAAATCTCTCTTAGTAGATTAAAAGGACTTGTGAAATTATTTACTTCCAGCTAAACAATCTCAGGTTGAGAAAGACTGCTAACAACAAAAAAGGACAATTGCTGTAGACATAGCACTTCCTTACTGACTTTTAACAGGGATTTACTGAATAAAGTGCCTGCCTTAAATAATTCACAAATCTGTGGAGTGCCTTAATGGGAGGAGGCATATTGTCTGCAGTGGCACAAGAGAAAAACGGAGAGACTTTAGAAATCGCAGTGGCTTTTTTGCTATAAGGAGGACTTCTAGGCACAGGCAGTAGTACAAATACTAAGTATTATATTGCTGCTTAAGTGTGTTGTGCTTAAAGTTATATGGGAATGCAGCTGTCACCAGTGTGAGTGGAACAGTTATTTAACAGCGCACAGCATCACTGGACAGTGATTTCAAACAGAAAATAAAGAAATCCACAGACCAATTGATACGGAAATTGCAGGGGAAATGTGGAATGCAAGTATTCCAGACCTAGTCAGGAGACTTAAATGAGCACTTCTAATGCGATAAGATAGGATGTGGTGTCTTTAAAAATACGAAAAGAGTTAGCTGAAATATTAAACCACCAACAGTAGATCTTTTAGCATCAGTAGTCTTTTGGATAAGTACTGACATGATAAAGAATAATTTTTCCTACTATGTAGCCAGCTCGTATTAAATGACATTCAAGAAGTTTCTCAAAAAATGTAACTATCTCAAGCATGAAATTTTTTTCTGGGTAGCGTATTCTCAGAGTGGCTTTATTCTCCATCAAAGCGTCTGACAGCTTTCACCAGAGGACGTGATATCAATATGCAATTTATCCTTTCAGAGCCTTCGGGATGATCAGTCTATTTCTTTGCCGTCCCTAATTAAACATATTGCTTCAGTAATTCCCAGCAGCAAGGAGGCATTGCGACTACACTGAAATGAAAATAAACTTTTAGAACCACGGCTATGCCGTCTGCAGTTATGATTAATTTATTCTATGATTGTTGTTTTGGTTGTAAGTTTTTAGCTGTTTTATTCAAGATATCGTGAGGGAGCATGGAGAGACTAGCCACAGATTTTATTTCTTGGTGAGGTGGAAGAAATCTGAGAAGGTTTTAAAACAGATTTGGTTGAAATAAAATGTAGCAAGCCAATGGAGATCTTAAATGTGATCTCTGATCATTCAACCTTTTGAAGGCCACTAATAATGATGGTAAGTGAGGGTCTCTGTTCCAACCAGCCGTTTCCTAGAATAAGAATCAAATACAGATCCTTCATTTTTAAGTGTTTTGGAAAACAGGTAGCAGCTCTACAATGACCGTGGATTGAGGCACTTGGTAAGAGATATTTGGAGTCAGCAAAAAAATTTTGTTATTTAGCTGTTAGTCAGGACACATCTTCTACCTGCCTTAGGCGAACAGGTCAGTCCAGGCGGCCAGAGAGAAGGTTGCTTTCAGGATATACAGGTTATTTTCTTTTCCATTTTCTTTAGTAATGTGGAAGTGGGTGAGGATGGGTTGATTTCTATCATACATTCGAATTATGTTTTTAAATAATCATTTTTCATTTGGCTTTATGTGTGGGCTTTTTTTTCATTGTGAAAAAGAGGTGATACTCATGAGCGTATTTCATTATGCCATCCAAAAGGATATATTATGTATATCACTTAGGTGATCATAGTGCTTAAGCATTCGACTTTTTACACTTACTTTATATTAAAAAATGGTGAACAATGCATTTTTTACTAGCTGATACTTATTTACGCAGCATTGTACAGGGCTGGATTTGGGCAGAAGTTTAAATCCATTTAAAATACACAATCAACATTTTAAGATAGTCATTAATTCAATTTAAAAATTAAATGCGCTGAACATAAAATAAGCTTAGCAAAACATGGTTTGTACTGAAAGCCAGTTCATTTAGTAAAGGAACTACTACATACAGAAAATGAACTGATACGATCTTACTAATCAGCATGCCTTTGCTTTCCAGAATTACAACTAGGAAATCTTATCCTTCACATTTATTTTTAAAGGGTTATCTTACTAATCCTTTTACAAAGTATAGGATTTGGAGGACTAGGTCCCAAACTGCAAGACAGTAAAATGAGAGCTCTGGAGAAAATGCAGTGTGTTTCACCATGTCTCTGATCTCCTCGTTTGCTTAGGATTTAAACCATTTCTTCAAATACAGGGAAGTGAAAACAATTCATTTAAGAATGACTGGAAATGAGTGAAATCTCCAGATGTTAACAGCTTATTTACTTCTACTGCAGTAACATTAAAGAACACTAATCAACATCAGAAGTAGGTTGTTCTCCGGGTTGTACAAATATCATAGTCATTTGGAGCAGCTGTAATAAAATGCCTTATTATCAGGGAGTAAGGTAAGATAGACAAACAAGATTTTTCAGCCATTAGTTTTCAGTCGAGTTCTAACTGACATTAATTATCCGTAGCATCTTTACATGCCAAATGAGAGAATATAGTTTATAACAGATGTTGCCTCCATACTTAATTCTAACAGTATTTTTTAAACTTGAAGTAATTGTAAATCCTGTTACAAATTATAGCAAACCCAAATGTGTTCAGAAACATTTTAAAGACATTATCTTGATATTCCAGTTAGTTTTAGGATTACTGTTTATCTAGTCAATGCTATTTCCACAGCCTTTTTCTTTCTTCTGCCTCATTTTGCCTTTTTTCTTTCACAGTCCTCTTTTCATAAGTTGAAATATATTTTTGCAAAATACAGCTGCCATACAGGTTTTAACCTAAAGCCAAACCACTTAATTAATTAATTAATGACCTAGGTATTGGTCAGTAATGTACAGATGGAGCTGACAGAGGAAATTGCGTATCATTAGAGCTGTAGTTAAAACCTGTGAAACTGATTTATGCTTTAGGTCAGTAACCTGGAAAAGTTCATGTTTGGTGAAATATATGACTTGTCAATCTTTCTTACTTTTGACACCACTAAGAGTAAGGCATTAGTCATTTCTTAGGACTGCATTAAAGACAGGGTTGACTTCTTCGTGGTGATAAAGTCTTATAAACACAGGTAGCCTCTCTTCATAGAAGCCTGTCTTGCTCTTCATTTTTCTTAGCATTTTCTCAAAGTAAGAAGGGCTGATTCCTTTACTAAGATGTTTCTGAACCCACATTTGTACTATCGATTTTCAGTAAAATTTAGTACCCTCTTGCTTGCTTCCTTTTTTTTTATATTGTCTGAGAAAAATCTGTCTAGCTCAGTAAGTCCCAATAAAGCCTGTAACATTTACTTCTTCTCTAGGTCTGTTTTCCTTTGTCTTCTCGTAACGTCTCTGCCTCTGGTCCGGAGGCTGTTGCTCTGCAGCTTGCCTGGTGCTGGTTGTCAGCTTCCATCAGACTGATGGATCTCTGGGAAGGAAAGGCAGGAGCTCTGCGTGGGCCTCTTTTCACCTCATCTGTGCAGATGAAGATTTGACATTTGCTTTTCTGAGAGGGGGTGAAACTCTTTGAGAAACATTATGTAAATTTACTGTTTTATGTAAGGAACTCTTATGATGTACATTGCGGCATGCTTATGAGATTAAAGGCAGTACTTTGTTTTGTGCACCAGCATAAAAGCAGAGTCCTGAAAAATGTCTAAAAAAGAAAATGATTTTAATAGGCTTCATGTTTGTTTTGATGTTTCCATTTAGGTGCTGACCCCGGCACAAATAAAATCAATTTGCCTGGCCATACTAGAATCAGGAAAGCAGTATGCAGTGAAGAAGAGGAAACCATTCCCACTCATGTATTCCTACTATGGGACAGAGTATCTTGGTGAGTAAAACACACCAGCTACTGCGAAAGGGATGCAGCGTGCAGATGCTAAGCCAATAGATGCGTCAGAAATAAATAAATAAAACCTACAGTGTGGGATTTCTCCTGACTAAGTTGGGACCATCCAACCTCCTAAAACTACCAAGTGGGGAGCTGGAGGAAAGGACTGATGCTGCCTAGCGCTGAAGAACATGAGAGGTGCCTGCACTGCACAGGGGGAGCTGTGGGCAGCAGCTTCGTTCCCTCTTCTTTGTGCCCTGGTAAATGTGCCCTTGCCAGATGGAGGCGGAGAGAGGTGCGATGCCCGTGCCTGTGTGGAGAAGGTTACTGGAGAGATCTGTCAGGGGATGGTATTTGTGAGCTGCTGTTGCCACGCAGCGACTCGCAGAGGGCTTTTGGCCATAGCAGTGCAACTCAAGCATATGGTCAGCTCCCACCCATTGCGAGCAGCTTAGTTGGAGCTCATCTGAAGCAGTGGTGAAGGGTCACTGAGCAGGTCCCTAGTGGGGTCCTCAAAGTCACAATATCACACTGCAGAAAGTGTGACATTGGGTTGCAGATGTTAGTGGGTGCTATGGCAGGGGAGCAGAGGGAGAAGTCACTGAGTGGCACTGCTCCACGGGCCCTGGCAGATACTGACAATTCTTGCACTGAACTTCAGGTTTTAGGTGACTGACACTGTCAGTCCCTAACTGGAAATACCATTTATGGTCCAGGTTCTATTTGGGTTCAAAAATGACTTCAGAATAATGGTCCAGATTCCGTAGAGCGTCAAGAAGAATAACATCTTGAAACAGTATTTGGTTTAGGTTCAGTGTAACTTCGCATGCTGATTTTCAGTCGCATCAGAGTGAGAGCAGACAAAATTCATACGTATTTTTGCATAGCTTGGGGAACTGGAAAAGACAGAAGTAGTAACAAATCTTAGTGTCGTGCACCTAAAAAGCTTTTATTACAAGCAATGTTGTTAACGTGTGTAAAGAAGATGACAAGGAAATCAGTCCCAAGAGAAAGTTACCGTGAGATGGAGGTAGGACCTAAATCTATCCTATCCTTTTGACTGTTGCTGTTCTTTACAGGTGCAGCACATGGGCTTTCATCAATCCTTCAGATGTTGCTTTCCTATTATGAGTACCTGCAGCCAGCAGATCAGGAGCTTGTGTGGCAGAGCGTTGATTTTCTTATGGACCAGGAACAGAACAGCAACTGGCCTCCCGAGCTGGGGGAGACAATCGAGCGGGAGAATGAGCTTGTGCACTGGTGTCATGGAGCTCCAGGTTCTTTTGTCATTGATGCTATGAATAGCCAGATGCTGATCACACTGCTTTTCCACGTTAGGTGATTCCATGTAGAAGATAATCTCAGGTTAAATTTGACCGATTTTGACATTTTATGAGCTGCAGGCAAACTATTTAGGCTTTTTCTTCCAGTTAAGAGTGTTTTATTTATTGCTGAAGCAGCTGGAAGGATAGGTGTATTTTCTGCCTTAAAAGCATAGGTGATCACAGCTGAAAGAATTCTGGTGAACATGTTTTCTGGTTTTGCTCTTTTTCGGGGCAAGACCTCAAAGAATGGTATAGCTGAGTCAAAAGGCAGCATATAGCTGGACAGAGAACCTGTGTGAAAGAACACAGATACAGACATATCTATGAGTTTTGGGAAGGCCGCCAGAATAGCTTTTTTCCCCCTTCATCAGAATTAAAGTTTAAGCTGCACTTATTACATGGATAATGCATAAATTTGACCGAAGGATTTTCATGTGGAGTTTGTACTAGCAAGAGGCATTTTTTCTGAAAGTCACCCATATAAAATTGTTTCTCAGAGAAAAAGAGAATCAGTCCTTAGTTTGAGTTCGTGATGTAAGGCTGATGTCTGTCAGTTCAGAATCTAATCCTATACTTCAGCAATTTTGGCAAGTAATGCTGTATATTGAACTTGCTTTTTTACCCCTATGCAGAATTTTATTGCTAACTAGTCGTATTGGCTTAGTAACATGAACCTAGAAGGCTACAGGAAAAACTTACTTTTATTAAAGAGTGTCCATGAGCATTGATGCATTACTTTTAAAGGTATTCTATTTAAATTACAAACAGGACATTATAATGAACATTCCTTAAATGTGCTTTCTGCTGATGCATTATCTTTTTGTTGGTATGATTAAGGAACAAGCTTCTTGCTCTCACACTCTAATGAAGTGAAGTGAAAAGAGCTTTTGCTTACCAACGTTTCTTATTTTCAAGAGGAAAAAATTATTTATACAGCTGGCATAGTGATGAAACCTGCAGGGAAGATGCCCTCTTTGTTTCAGTATCTTGAAAGCAGCCTTTGACTTTACTGTTAGTGGAGACATACGCAGTGAGACTCAACCAAAATGACAGAATCCCAAAGGGCATGAAGAAGTTACTTTAGGAGACATTTAAAGACATGTAAATTCATCAACTGTTGTTCTTCCCAAGAAAATCCTGTATCCCATTGCTGTTCTTGGGTAATAACGCACATGCAGTTTACAAGAACACTTTACAAGAATGGCTACTTCAGTGTATATTATATTCAGACCACAAGTGAGCTATTCTAAACATTTCCTTAGGCGCTTGATTTGGTTATGTGTCATATGCATTCTTTTAAGGTTACCATGAACTGAGCTGTGCAGTGCTCTGTTGAAGATTATGATTAATTTATTTTAATCCCCTCTAAAAATAAACCAAATAGGGGGTTGTTGGTTTTTTTTCTTAAGAGAAGTTAGTATGCATAACTGTTCATAACTAGAATAAAGCAGCATGTGCCCCACTGGAAAAAAAAGTAAGTTTTTTAATCGGTAAAAAATTGTATCTGTTGCCAAAGTAAGAAATTATCTTGCTCATCCTTGTGTTTCTGTCAGTGTAAATATGTGAGGTGGATGGGGATTTGAAACCAATAGAAGACAGTGCTAAGAGTTTACTGTTTTAAGACAAAAATGTGACTACTGTTTTAAATTGATAAAAGACTCGAATGTTAGAGTAAACCATGAAATTCAGTAATGCATTGAAAAGATTGAAAGTGTTGTTGTCACAGGGAGTGGGTAAGTACATGTTACCCTATGCTTTTTAGCATACCAGATACTCTCCCCTCCATGTGCAGCACATAGATATGTAACGTTGACATGCGTAGAGCATGAAACTGCAAGTCTTTTAGTGTATTAATCTTTATTTTCTTACGTGTTCTACGAAACCTGTGGCCTACTTATTACAAAAGACAATTTCAATGCTATTTTCCTAGGCATTGCGTATCTGTTCGCCAAAGCTTACCTGGTTTCCAAGAAGCCTCAGTACCTGGACACTTGTATCCGCTGTGGAGAGCTAACTTGGCAGAAAGGCCTGTTGAAGAAGGGACCTGGAATATGCCATGGAGTGGCTGGTAGTGCTTACGTGTTCCTGCTGCTGTACAGGCTCACTGGAAACTCAAAATACATATACAGGGCACAAAGGTTAGCATTCCTACCTTTCTGGGTTCAGGGTAATACTGGAAAGTTTCAGGAACATTTATAAAGCTGCTCAGAGTCTGTGATCACCACCCTCGGTTGTAACCTGCGTGTTTAAGTCTCAGGTGCAGTTCTAGCTCCGAGTTGCGGGGCAGGCGCGCTCTGTGGGGAGCCCTGCAGTTCTGCTTCCAGGCTGCCTGCCATGGGAGAAGCATCAGGTTCTCCCAGCCTCCCTCCCTCCCTCCCTGCCCACGAGCCTTCAGAGGGAACCGGGCTGGATGGGGAGGAATGGCACGCATCCAGGTCTCATCCTGACATGAGGGCAGAGCAGCCAAGTTGCGTACCCAAGCCCAGGAGCAGAGTAAAATGTGGTGATGTTCGTTATATTGATTTGTTCTGATTTTCAGAGCATTTAACAGTATCCCTTAATACTAAACATGGAAAATAACTACAGGACCTGCTTTGCTGTTATTTTACTGTTTTTTAATTTATCATTCCCAGCTTTAGCCAGTTTGACATTGTGCTATTCGGCTTAGCTAGTGGAGTTAATTCCATTTTGCCCTGATGCAAGCAAGTATATCCCACTGAAAATTCTGTCACAGTGCTGCAATTGTCTTTAATTTTATTTCTGTAATTTACTATACATGTTTGAAAAGATAGTATTCAATGTTTGTTACTGTTTTCCTTACAGCATAGAGTAATGAGGGGAGGTGGTATAGTAATTAGGGTGACTTATTTTCAGCGTTTGCTTCGAAGTGAGAACATTTTATTTGTTTAGTTACTTCAGCATTACAGTTATTAAAATGTATTTGTTTAATAGTATGTCTCATAGAAATCAGAAAAAAGTTTGTAGCTCTCATAGAAGCATAGCACATGTACAGTTCACAAAGGTTTGGCTTTTCTAGATCTCATGGACCTCAGTTTATTGTGGAAATTGGAGAGTGTAAAATTTCCACATAAGGTTAACTAATGAACATTCTACTTTTTTAAATCACTGAATGTTATTAAAATGATGCTTTCAAACAACAAGTACGTAGACATACAGGGACACCAAATAATAACAAACTCTCTTTTTTTTTTTTTCCTGTTTCTTAGGTTTGCAGAGTTCTTATTTACAGAAGAATTTAAGGCTGGTTCCCGGGCATTAGAGAGTGTATATAGTCTGTATGAAGGCTTCTCGGGAACTGTGTGTTTCCTGACTGACTTGCTGCAACCCAACCAAGCGGAGTTTCCTCTCTTCAGTGTCTTTGTCTAGAGAGTAACATTCTCCAGGGCCGCATCCTAGTGGTGATGGGAGAGGGCACTGCGGTTTCACTTATTTGTCAGGAGAGGCTATTTACAAAACAAGCCAGTGGTACCACTAATGCTAGCCTAAATGTAGCTGGGAGTCAGGTGACAAAGAAAATACACTGGGGCTCTGGGAGGGAAGTGTGTGGTCAAAAAAAATGGGTCCGTGAAAAAAAAAAATGGGGGAAGTGATTCAATCTGATGGGGTAGATATTTAGCTGTAATAGGAAGCAAAATCTAATTATTCAAGTGAGAGAGAAAGGGGCATTATCAAACTTCTAAGTTGGTGGTTACATAGGAGGAAAAAAAAAGGCAAGGTAGAATTACAGGGACATGCAAAGAAGAAACAGTGATGCATCCAGTAGGTTTTAAAAAGAGACCAGCAAAAAGAAGTCTTCATGCAGCGATGCAGTTATCGGGGAGGGTGTCGTAGACATGTCACTACGTGTGGGGGGATTTTTTACCTAAACCGCATCTACTAGTCCTAGTAACGTATTAGAAATACCCGTGTCTTGGAGCTCTTTCATCTTCATATGCATATAATGATAGTTAGGTAGATAGCTATATAGTCAGCCTGCGGTTTCACGGGTTCATTTCAACTAGTGGGGTTTCATGTGTGTAAATGAGAACTGAATTTGACCCTTCCTTTCAGAGCTCAGTCTGTGGCGAGGAGCTGGTCTCCTTACTGATTTACTGTAACCGTGTCACTTCTTGCCAATACTTTCCCTGTCGCAGGGAAGATGAGCTGAGCCATGAAGAAGACTTGGATCAAAAAGTGCTATAGCAAAGATACAGCAGGCAGATGCTTTCTTCACAGCACAGCATTACTAGATAAGTATTGTTCAGTGACACAAAAGCTTCCTTTAAAAATTAATTACCTGTAGCAGCATTTCTGAACATTAACGTACGTATTTCAGAGAACTGAAAATCTGTTTTCCTTGATGAATTGTTCACTACAAACCCTGCAAACTGAATGCAAACCTTGGATGGCATACTGCTCTTAAGAAAAACCTGGTAACAAAACTCAAAAATGCTTCTTTTCGTGGTTAACAAAATAATGTATATGGCCAAATGATTTGTAGCTATAGAAATAAATGGGTTGCTCAACACTAGTTGCACTAGCACTTAAGGCTGCAATTATACACTGTTTTATATGTATTGTATATATGACATGGTACTTGAAAGCTAAAGAAAATGCTAACATAGATTTCTACTAAAAAAAATGTAAAATCAGTATCTGTATTTAAAATATATATACTATTTATTTTTTTTAGTAAGGGAATAATGGAATGCAATTACCTTTAAAGACAGATTGGGAAGACCAGTATGTCAAAAAATTGCAGTTAGGGTGAAAAAGCTGATCTACATGCACTGCCAAACAATGCAGTCTCTCTTCCTGCATTCTCAGCTGGAGGAGATTACACTTTCTTTATTTTTAATGTCTAATGGATTAAAGTTCCCATTTAATTTCAGTGGGCCTTGATCAGGCTATAAGTTGGAGCCAGGTCTTGCAATCCTTCCGCATTTTAATATAGTAATCCCATTCTTACTCTTGCCACTGTTATTTTAATGAGATGGCTTGCATTATTATGAGCTGCACATTAGGATTTCTGCTATTTTGTCTTGCACTGTGCAGCTCTAATTAATTACTTAATCACAGAAGTAACCATATTTCATTGGTGAATAAAGCAATGCAGTTCTGTATCAGTTTGTCAAGGATTTAGGGACTTTTTGGTGAATGGAAATGTTAAAATTCAGTATATGGTTGTTATGTGTTTATTATTTGTGGCTAAAAGGTCTTTTAAGAAAGCCATTAATGTCACTTACCTTGTTACTCTGAGCAGCGAGATGTGTACACGTAGGAGTGTGTATTTCACAGGGCGATGTACATGTGAGGCCAGATCAAAAAGTCAATGGAGATGGGCACATGCTCTGCCCAGCCAGGTTGAAATGCTCCTGTTAGATCAGAGCAAAGTCAAGTGTCAGTAGCAAAGATCCTAAGTCTCTCAGGATTCTTCTCTAGCTGCTTACTGTAATGCAGGTATCTCATCTATTTCATAACTGGAACCTTTTTAAACAAATTTTTGAGGAAGGTAAAACTTGGCCTGTCCACTTTTTCCCTGGGTCAATAGCTTTTCAGTCTCGATTTTTATTGTAGGGTAATGCCACTCAGCTAAAACATACAAGTAACAGTATTTGTGCCATAGCATTTAGATAGCTACTGTAACTGTATTCTGCCTTAGTGTAAGACAGAGAAGTAGGTTCTGCTATGATCTAGACTCAAGCTGTTGCAATCCTACATTTATTGCCAACCCTTTTATTTAGAGATACAAAAATGCCTAGCATTTTGATAAGTACACTGTCAAAAAGCCCTCAAACAACTCCAAACTTAAGCCTTAACAGAATCTGTGTGTATCAGAATAGTAATCATGACCTTCTGATTTTGTCCCCAGCGCCTACTTTTGAATTATCAGTGGGCCACAACATTAATTGTTTCCAGTTAGTTATTTCTCAGGAGATGCTTGAAGAAGAAAATCTTTGCCAAAACCTCAATAAATCTAGAGCACAATAAATCAGTACAGTAACTCAGATCCTGACCAAGTCATGAATGCTGATACTGTAACATATACCACATATATGTTAAAATTTATCATAATAGCAGTAGATAAAATCACTCCATTTTATTATGCTTAACTTCCAGTGGTCATGTTTGCATTTAGCTTTTAATGTGATTCTTCATAAACAGCAGGAAATACACATTAAGAACTCGGTGCCAGTTTTCTAGTGGTTTCCCCTGTGTGTCTCTCTGTAGAATTAATTCATTCTGATTTACATTCAGAGGAGACTGATCTGCTCTGTGTTGTGTTCGGCAGCACCCGCAGAACGAATCTTCTGTCTCTGCAACCATTCCCCGTATGTGAAGCCATGTGCTTGGCTTCATTTGATACTAATCCTGTGAGAAAGAAAATAGTTATTTGAGTAAGAGTCAGATAGTCCATTCAACAATGAGAAACCTATGCAACCACCCAGTTTTCAACATCTGTCCCCCAAACATCTCTCTCAAGTTACGCGGGCTCAGCACTGACGAGGGCAAGGGCAGCATGCAAGCTTTGTTGACTGACACTTCAGATCAGTAACAGTAACAGACATCCAGTCTCATGGGATACATCTTGTAAAATCTTGGAACATAATTATTCATCTCTTTCATCAGACATGGCTGTTTGAGCTCATTCTTAGAGCTTCGTGGCTTTTCTTACCTGACCTAGCTGGGTTGAGGTGGCTACTAGACGTGCTGTAGTCACAGCTTCTGAACGCAGTGTAAATATACCCCTGGGCTCTTCTGAAAATGCCAGTCATTAAGTAAGCAAGGTTTTCTCATCTTTTTCCTCCTCTTCATTGCCTGCTAGCTTTTTTTCCTTTGTACTATACATGCTGTTACATACATGCTGTTGCAACCTATATTGTTGCTTTTAAGACATTGGCAGGAAAGCAACCTGAGCAGAGCCGTCAGCACTTTTCAGTGTGATAAAAAGTAGGGTCTCGTGTTCCCTCCTTGCTGCTTCGAGAAACCGATCGTAAAACCTTTGCTAAAGATTCTCATCCTCATCTCAGGATGCTGTCTCCTGCTCCCGAATTGGGCCCTAATAGACTGAAAAATTGTATTCCTGAACAGATTCTGCCATGGTGCAGTGACAAAGACTGTGTTACCAGAAACTTCAGAAGCCTCTTTCAAAGTGTAAAACACAAGTTACTACATCACATCTGCACATTAGTTTCTTGACTGTGCTTAGTTTCTAAAGTGTAGGCGATAGGAATTTAAGTGCTATAATAGTATTTCTGATTATGCTGTTAAAACAAAGACGATGCATTGTGTGGGTATTGGTGCTTATTTGTGATATAACTGTGTTCGTGTGGTGCTGTTTGTGTGTAAATGCGTAGATTACAAATAAGTTTAAGGAGCTATATACTATTCATGACTTTCGGTAGGTCATCCGTAGATTACTGTCACGGAATTAATTTTAAGGGAAACTAGATCTGTAATGTCCAGATTTAGTGATCTCAGGATTCATAGAGCCAGATGCAATATGTTTCATCAACAGTGCAGTTCTAACAAATATATCTTAATTTTTTTCTGCTAGTCACAACTCTCAGCATGACAATGTATTCGTTTTGTGCCACTCCTTTCAATATCTGCTCTGTTTGCATCGTTGTTTCCTTTGGTTTCCCTGCCTTTCTTTCCCAACCTACGAATAACTTCAGAAGGCTGAAGCAGCAGCCCAGGTCTTTTGTTCTTGAAAACAAGATTGATTAATTTTGCTTAAGAGGGGTGTTCCACTTATTTGCATTACATTATTTTATGCTCCCAGGTGGTCTCTTCTCACTGGCTCTGCCATTTCCCACCTGCTAAAGAAAAACCATTATATAGTGTAACAACTGTCCCTGATGTTTTACATCATTAAGTAAAACAAAGAGAGACTTTCTAGGGAGCATGTTCACTTCTCTAGTATCTCAATTCTATTAAGACAATCAAAAACAAGTGAAATGGCTAAACATGCCAAAATACACATTTAAATAGTTCTGGGAAATATGCACAAACGAATGCAAGTGAAGTCCCCTTTTTGCTACTCTGTGAAATTAAGTAATGCCGCTTTGATGTTTTAATAATAATTATATGGACATTTAGAGAATATGATGAGAATACTTATTAGTTGTTAAAGTACTGTGGAAAAAAAGAAGTGTAGGTGTCTGATGGATTCAGAAACATACAGGTGCAATATGTGCAAATGGAAACTTTCATAAGCAATCAAATTTTTGTACTGACATTGTTATCAACAATACAGTTACAGCATCTGCCAACATACTGCATGCTTTATTGCAAACAGTGACCAATTTTAGCATGTGCATGCATTTTGAGAATATATCCTTGCTACTTGGACCTGTAAGATCCCTGGACAGAGTGTATCTCTG